AAATGACTTGCCCAAGGATCACAAAGGAAGGCTGTGGCAGAGAAGGGAACTGAACCGTTCTCCAAAGTGATAGGCCAGCATCCCTAGCCACTGGGATGCTCAGGGAAAAACCAGCCATTTAGGGTATGTCTACACTATGAAACTATTCCAAAGTAACTAAAACCAATTTAATAACTCCCAAAATTGAGAGAGTGTACACACTACAGGGAAGCCTCAAAATTAGTCCGAGGCAGGCTGCCGCAATGCGGACATGATACCTCGATTTAGAGCCCCAGGAAGCCCTGGAGAATAATTAGTTCAAATTACTCTAGAGAACAGTTAATTCGAAAGAGTGGCATACTAATGCTATTTCAAAATAACTTTTGAAATTTGCATTATTCCCCAAAGCAAACAGGAGTACAGATTTTGAAATAACTAGTCCATTATTTCAAAATAATGGGCTTGGTAGTGTGGATGAACCCCTTATAAATTTGAACTAAGGGTTGTTTTTTCCCTAAATAACTCCCTAGTATAGACCAGGGCTTACAGTGTGTGCCTAGTGCCTAGCACAATAGGATATTAAGGTGCTACTACCACATAAAGTTAAACAAATCACGCATGAGTGACAAGAGCAAAGATCAAAACACTTTATTTCCTTGAGCTCCAGTGTTATAACTGTAGCAGCATTTCAGAAGCCAAACTTTCTGGATTATTAAATATGTGTTCTCCTCAAAAATACAAAATCTTTACAATCTTTGAATTAAAAAACTGCAATTTTAAAACAGCAACTTTAAAAAACATCTTAATACATCCTCTCCCTTAAAAAAATGTGCGTTTGTTGCAGCCACAAAGCAGCAATACATCTGTTTCACATACAAAGTTTATTCTTAAATGTCAACAGAATGTTATTAGCAGAACAGAAAATATTGACTATATTTTTTAAAAGTTGCAGCTCTCCTGAGATGCAACCCAATATGGCTTTGGTGGAGATCCTTTAAACTGGAGATCCAGCAGGTAAATATTGGAGTTGATAAGCAAGAGAGTTAAAATTGAACAAAGTCCTGCAAGAAGAGCAATTGGATAAAGGTTCCAGGATGTGTCCATTTCAAGTTGGACTTTTTGGTCCATGTTTGACGACATAACCCTGGCATACGCCGTATTATGGGGTTAAGTTTTCAAATACTCCCCACCCATAATTTTCCAAGTAACTTAAGTCCTATGCAAGTATCTAAGTAAATAGCCAGATTTTCACAATCACTCAAGAACTGGTCAGATTTTCAGCGGAGATAAGCATCTGCAGTGCAAACTCTTAAAAAAAAAATCCTGCGGCTTCTATTGGTACCAAAACAAACTCAACTCTTCTGAGTCTGGCACCAACATTAGGCACCGAGCCCTTTGCAAATCTGACCCTTTGTTTCTGATCTTGCATCACTGGAGGACAGTAAAAGCTTCACTGTTGTCCTCCAAGGGAACGCGCTTAGGCTCTATCGGCAGGTTGGACAGGGCGAAGTGAGCAAAAGGGGTGAAGCTAAGAGATCAATCGGAAGGAAGTGCATCAGTTTTGGCAAACCTGTTACTGCAGAGTTTAGTGTAGGGCTGGGCAAGAGGCTGCCAGGGGCCGGATCCGGCCTAACACTTTGATCCGGCTAGCAGATTGCATCTGGCTGCTTTCGACGTATAGCCTGTGCCACTGAATTGCCAGGTGGTGGCTCAGGCAGCCAGTTCCTATTTAAACCGCTCAAGGTTGCAGTGCTACCCCAGCAGGGGCTAGAACCAAGAGCCCTTTAAATAGCTGCAGCAACTCCAGGCAGTTGCCAGACAATGTGATAGCTGCAGGGCCAGGTGCCGCTAGCCCTTCGCTATGTGTTTAATTCAAATCTTCCAGCCCCACACAACTCTGGGGGAGGCTAGTTCCCTGCCCTGCCCCTTCCGGAGGAGAGGGAGAGGGAGAAAGCCAGCCCAGCCGGTTCCCCCCAGCACCGTCTTAGTCTTCATGGCAGGCAGGGGAAGTAGAGGCACAGCGGGAAACAGCGCGAGCGGGTCCTGAAGTAGTGTCCGCTCGTGCCAGTTCTGCTGCGATTCTGCTTTTGAAATGTAGGGCTCTTGCTACAGTTCAGAGGCAGAGGTGCCCTTAGCGACTAATTGAATAGTTGAAGGAAATCCCATCCACAACGCAATTAATCTAAACTTAACAGCCCTAGCGAAGACCTGCTAATTCAAACTCCCATCAGCACCAGTAGTCCTGCTCCTCATGGGAGGAGCAAGGGCGGTAGGCAGGTCTAATTTAAGATACTTCGACTCTAGCTACGTAATTAACATAGCTGGAGTTGCGTATCTTAAGTTGACTTCCCCCTTTAGTGTAGGCTAGGCCTCTGAGACTAACAAAAATATTACATTATTTTATTATAATATGGATTTTTCAAAGCTGACTAAACACACTAAATCCTTTGAAAACCCCAGGCTAAAAACCCTTCAAAGTTTGCACACCAAACTCTTGGTATAAAGATGATCATGAATGCTTTCTAGTGTCAATATGACGCTCACAATAGTAGGAGGTTACATGTTCTACATCCTTATATGAATGTAAGGAATAGCAACAGACATGAAAAGACTTTCACAATCTCTTAGCATTTTTAAAGAAACATTTACACAAATGGCATTCACTAGAGAAGTATTTCTTATAGTGAGTGATTTAACTTCCCTAAATACTCCACCAAAAGTAGTCCAACTTAGTGTAATGCAAGAGTACAATCACATGACCACCACCATCTAGAGAAGACTCGAATTGTCGGTTTCGTCTCACTCCAGAACTTCCAATTTCATGGCAACTTTTCATTCGTCACAGACTAAGCTGTAGTTTAAATGAAAAACTCCATGTTAAATTAAATGCAAATATTAGACATGGTAACGCGTTTCTCCCCTCTATCAGGTGAGCAGAAAAACAAGTCACCGGTACATGGTACCTGATCAAAACTTAATCTGGGCTTAGAGGAATGTCAACTTCAAATCTAGCCAACTCAAAAAAGTAGCTTCATGGTCTATATCTTCTCCAAAGCCCTCAGCCAGCTTTTGTTGGTTTCTGGTTATAATTTTCCTTTAAAAAGGATTCTTCCCATTGCTTTGTGAAAAAACCCCACAGCAAGTGATTGTATATATAAAAAACTAGAGAAAATATTGTCTGCTGCAGTTTCAGTTTTAGGAATGTTTAATAAGTGTTTCACTAGCTGGGTTCAGGTAGGATCAACCTTTCCACAGGGAGGTCACTAGTCAGTTACATTTCTAAAACTAGAAAAATCCTGCAAGGTTTTTCACTGATTATAATGTTAGATACCAAATCCTCCTATGTAAGCTATTAGTTAATAAATTCAGCATCTTTATTTCAGCAGCTAGTTCAGCTTTTGTTCTTTAGACACTCAAAGCTTTTTCATCTTCTGCAAATATTACTGCATTGAATTTAGACAACGTGAATCAAATAGCAGACATTTAAAATTCAGACCCCGTACTTGTGACATTGTTCAGTTTAATTTGGGAAGAGCAGTCAATGGTTCTCTTAGCCTCAAGTGTAAGAGCTACACTTAGTAAACAATGGGTTCAATATTACAAGGTAATAAGATGAGGTATGGAGGCTAAGTGGAGCTGTCCACAAGTCAAGCAGGCAATAAAAACCCGCAAAAAAGAACTGATGATCTGATGTAGTTTTTTGAAGGCACAGAGTTCTTTTCTACAGAAGCCCAAAATAGAGCTTAAGGCCAGGTCTATGCTAGCGGAGAAAAATCAATGCAAGATACGCAACTCCAGCTATGTGAATTGCGTAGCTGGAATCGACATACATTAGTTTTCTGGGGTGGCCCCACCGTGGGAGGCCAATGGGAGAAATGCTCCTGCTCACTTCCCTTAGTCCTTGCAACAGCAAGGAGTATCGGCACTAATGGGGGCACCCTCAGTATTTGATTTAGCGGGTCTTAAAGACCCGCTAAATCAAACCTCAGAAGGTCAATCGCCAAAGCACTGATCCTCCGGTAAGTGGAGACGTGGCCTAGGGTTTCATAGCAGCAAAGTCCCAAAAGCACTAAAATCCACTTAACCTTAGGTTTTAGGACACTTCATTTATACATGCCAATTGGACACCCACCAGCTGCTGTTTGTTGGCTTTGCTTTACAAAAAGGTTTTGATTCTGCTGTTCGTGTTTAAGGTTTTACTTTCCAAGGGCTTTTTTTTGCACTATAATTGACAGTCTCCTTGTAGTCAGTACACAACTCACAATTCAGGATGTCTTACTGAACTGTAAACAGATACTCTGCTACGGCACATTTATGCACAAGAGTAACATTCCACGAGTCCTGCACCAAGGTACTCCCGTGTAAGTAGGGTTGAGGTGCTAGTGGGAAATAAGATTATGAATAAATAAGAGTAATGAAGCCTATTCGGTATTTCAACGCCACAAAATGTACCTTTAAAATGAGTTTGCCAAAAATATTCATCTTTAAAATATAATCTTAAGTCAGCTCCTGATATAAAAATTAACATAAGGTTTTGCAAGAGCAACCAGAGATTTTCGCTGCCCAACTTGAGATCCTTTAAGAGAGACATTTTTCTGAAAGCATGTACCCAGCACTTTCCTGAAGTCAGGCCTTTTAACGTGTCAAGTGGACATCAGAACTGGAGGTAGCCTGAATACCTACAAATAAAAAACTTGACCACTCTTTTGGGGGTTAAATGCTATGATTAAAGCCATATTGGCTATAAAAATAAAATAAATGCTTTGGTTCTTTTTTACATGTCATGATGGAAGAACTCAGTTTTTTGTTGTTTTTGTTTTTTAAACAGCTCAACTTCCAGCTGTAATAATATTAAAGAGACAATTCTTACATAGAAAAATAAAGGATAAACATTATCCACCTATTTTATAATGTCATATATAAAAGTTAGTTCACTGATGGGATATTAACTTTCTTTGACGTAAAAAATCCCACGACATTGCTTTTTCCTCCCTGTGCAGTGTAAGTTTTCTGGTATTTTTTTGACGTAAAAGATCCCACGACATTGTTTTTTCCTCCCTGTGCAGTGTAAGTTTTCTGGTGAAGTGGTAACACCACATCACAGAGCTTATCTAAAGGGGGGAAATCAGTTAGTAATTTCACTTCTCTAAAGTCATAAATATATTATAAAACATCTTTAGACAATTTGATTCTAGCAAAAAGGGTGCCAAATTTCTTCAGTGACCACTTAATTCCCTTCCCTGCCTAAGACAGAAAAGTGAAATTCAATTGTGAATCCACAAGAAATCCTGCATGTTTCACAACATGAGAGAGCTCCACAGAGTTTACACAAACATTCTCCGAACCTTTGGCTCGCTCTAGTCAAGTCTTTCAACACGGAGCTCTTTTCTCCAGCTTGTGCTTTGTGAGGAAGTACTTAAAGAATTCATACACTGACCACGCAATGGCTGTGGAAGGCATCTGATAAATGACACGTGCTTGCACCCCTCGGAAATACCCAGGGATACCGCCCAGCTGATAAACTGTCCTGAAAGCATTGGCCATCCCTGAGAGGTGCCCGCTGACGTTCACAGAACTCAAGGCCATGTTCTCCTGAGTGTTGAGCAATGTCTTGCAGACGTCAAGGGGTGTGGTGGCAGCGGCAGCCACGGCCCCGGCAATGGCGCCCGAGAGGATGTGCGTGCGGGGATTGTATTCTCGGCGCGGGTTGATCTGCTCCTGCATGAACTCGTACGTGATGAAGTGAATGGCTTGGAAGGGGACGTTCATGGTGAGCTGGGTGGTGTAACTCCGGTAGAAGGCCCCCGGCCCTTCCGTCCTATGCACCGTTCGGATGCACTCCCAAACGGTTTTGTAGGGGGAGTTGTACATCTGCATCCGCTGCTTCACCACTGCGGTCGTGGGCGGTCAAGTGGCACCAGATGGGACGGAGAGGCAGCCAATGGGATAGAAGATAAGCAAGTTAGACCCAAGTTCTTTTGTGATTCATAACATCCCAACCTCTAGTGAGGCTCCCAGTTCATGTGCATTGAAAGCCTTTCCTTCACCAGTGGGGAGTAACTTACATAGATAACAGCCCACAGAAGCATCTGTTGTAAGTGATAATCATCCTATTCAAGTCTTCAAGCCTTTCCTTCGCCAGTGGGGAGTAACTTACGTTGACAACAGATGCTTCTGTGGGCTGTTATAAGTGATAATCATCCTATTCAAGTCTTTAAACAAATAATATTAAGGTTCACACTTCCCCTTCATAGAACCTTCCCACACCTACGAGAATTCTCAATTTCTCAATAAGGTAAAAATAACTTGACAGATAAGAGGGAGGAGTTACGAGACTGATCCTGCTTCTTTAGAAGCCAGTGGCAACACTCACCCTAGCAACCCACCTCCCGTTACAGCAATGAAGCATGACTGTTAAGTGACTTGGCCAAGGCTGCTCAGGCAGTGGCAGAGCCAGGAGCACAACTCACAAGCGCTTGGCTTAGAGTCCCATTCTCTAGAGGAGCCACTAAGATGTTGCTTCTTCAAAGAGCGTTTTAAACTAATAACGAAGCAGACAGAAAACTAGAAATTTCAGAAATTTTCTATTTTGAAAAAATGAGGGAACAAGTTTTTTTAAAAATGTCCCCAGCCTGTTCCAATAAATAAATCAGATGTCACTATTTTTCTTGACAAATTTTGCTGAAGGTGTATGTTAAGAATCTCCTGTTATTTTCCACAAAGCACTCCGAAACATAACCGATGAAGGCTACATTCATGACTGCATCTTTACCAGTGTATGTTAAGCCACAGAGAGAGATAAGGAGGACTGGATACTTCAGATAAATAATGTTTGTCTGCTTGAAAACCCAGAGTGCATTTTGCACTCTGCACTGCAAGTTATGGATGCCTATCACCAATTACTCTGCAGGTGTAGCTGAGACACGAGAAGTCTCTGCAAGTGTGGAGTGAAAGCATGGCCCAGATGACTCCAATGGTGTAAAGAATTTCACCCCAGAAGTCTCCATCAATTTAAAAAGGATACACGCTGAGGAACCCCATGCAGAAACCAGCAGGAGTTCTACCCAAATATACCGGGCTCCATTACCAATAACGGTTTTAGAATTTCTCTATGAGGCTCAGCCTTCAGAAGGATACCAACAGAGGAACTTTCAGCCGAAGCCTACATGACATATTTGCCCCACATGCTGGTTTTTGTTGTTCTTAGGCTCTGGCTACCAAGATGTTTTTTTAATTAAATAAGAGGCTATAGATTTACAGAGGTTTCTTTTAAGCCAATATGAGCCAAAGGGGCATTCAAAATGCCTTGCTCTTCGATAGCTGGCTTAGAGCAGCGCCAACTGTCAAATGGAGGATCTATTTTAGCATTTAGATAGTGGTGCTCAAAGTGTGGGTCGTGACCCAGTACTGGGTCACAGAATGTAAGGCACTGGGTCACCTTGCTCAGCACTCAGGGACCCTGGTGGCTAGCTAAGGCTGGGTCACAACCCACACTTCGAAAACTCTTGGCTAAGCCTTACTGTGCTGCACCCTGGAGGGGGACAGCCACAGATCCAGCTTGTAGGCAGGAAGGCCATGAGGCTCCTCATGCAGCCCCCTGTCCTAAGCACTGGTTCCAAACTCTGATTGACAAGAAACCAGCCAATGGGAACTGGGGAGAGG